AGAGACCTCTTATCAGGGGAGAAGCTATGGTAAGCCACCGGGTACCTGCGATCTCTGAGCGATGGAGCATGGCCCATGCGGAAGTGGGTCTCCTGGAGAAAGCCAATATGTGCGCGCTGCCTATGCAGTTCGTGCAGCACCATAGCACGCTTCTCTGAGATGTTCAGTCCCCTCACATAGCGGGAGAGGAGGCGCTAAGGAGGCATTTCCAGGCTGGAGCTAGAGTAGGGAGAGACCCCCAAGAGAGGGGCGGAAAAAGACTAGAAGGGGGGGGTTTGGGGAGAGTGAGATGGAGATTGAGGTAAGGTGGAGATGGGGACCAGAAGAGAAGAGAAAGCAGAGAGAGGAAAAGCGGGGATGGGAGGGTATAGGGAGGGAAGCACTATTGAACTGAAGTTCAAAAAATTCCCCCAAGCCATACCAGACGGACCCGTGGGGGTAACACTAGTGGGGGAAAGTGTTCAGACAGGCTTCTAGTGGAGCTCCAGAAGAGGCACTTAGTTGAGTCATTATATTTGCACTACGGAGGCAGCGGGAACCCCACTATCCTTTAATACAACTGTAAATTAGACCATACTTTGTGGTCAGGGAGGACCCCCCTCGAGGGCACTCCCCGGCCCAGCTATTAGGAACATGTAAAAACATATGTAAACAGCAAAGCTTGGAACAGTAGGGTCGGCATTGCTTAACAGCCTTCAGGGACTCCCCTTCGACAGGCGAATCCCCTAACCTGAAAGGTAGTCACCTCAGATAAGTACCGACTCCATGCTAGCAGGCAGACGGCATCAACGTTGGTGCAGTTTACATTTGTGTGACTCTCTCGGAAGCACCACAGCAACACCCAGAGCTATTCAGCACAAACAGGGTGTCCAACCTTCAAAAAAGAAAATGAATAAAAAAGAAAACATAGAAAAAACAATTGTAAAATGTGTACGAGAAATAGTCACAACTGGATTAAACAGGATACGTCTCTGTAGGCACCCCTTCCGTGGAAGCCGGTATCCGAGAACGGACAATCACAGCAGGGATCTGGAAAGATGTGGGACAATTCACCGCTGGGCTCCAGGAAAACCCCAGCAGGCAGAGTCAGTTGGAAAACTAGGCCCTAGATCCGATCTCGTTGTGCAGTAATGATCCGCGTGCCCGGGCATGAGAGCAGGATTAGAGGAAGGACTCCGGAGAGTTGGTTAGGTTTCTGTGGAGGAGCGGGGATCCGTATCTCTCCGTGCCTGATCCGGGGCAGGCCACAAAGATCGAGATCTGGAGCGTGAGGGTAATAGTCTCTTTACGGTCAACCTCACTATGTTCAGGGGCAGTCCCATTGGCGATGCACTCAGTTTCTGCGTCAGCGGTCTCATCTCTGACACAACTTATTTTCTGGCCATCCATGTTTAGGTTAACCCCTTCAATCTCATGGCTAACAGAGTCCTCAGCATCTCCATCCCGCAGCTGACTTGCCCCCTCTGGGCAGTCAGGTGCTATCACTCTATTGGCAAGCTCCCCCCTGGCACACTCGGATCACTCTTGATCTCATCTTTAAGAAGCCCTTTCAGTTCAGCACCAGAGCCTCTGCTACTAATTGATTGACTGTCAGCCTCTTGCTCCTTATTTAACACTTTGGTTCTCATGTTGTTGCTTACAGCAACCAACCCATCATTATTTCTCACCATAGACGCACCATTTATGTTAGTCATAGAAGCTGGATTATTACATTTTTGTAACGCATCATATTTCCCAAAAAGGTCACTCTTTTCCAGAATTTTACCCATATTGTCATTCTTAAGCTGAGCAGTGTCTGCAGGGGAACCACACCCAGTGGAGCAGTCATCTCCCATGGTAACTTCTAAGTAACCCATCTTTATTGGCAGCTGCTCTGATGTCTCAGTGTCAAGTGCAACCGAATCATCATCATCATCATCACCCTTCTGTTCAATTTTATTTATTATTGGGGTCCCAGACAAGATTCCTGCTGTTTTACCATAATTTTCCAGCCCTTCAAACTTGTGAACACCTGCTGCGGCATGTGTGCCCTCTTCTGCAATCTGGTTAACAGCCCCTCTGTCTGGAACAGCAGAAATGGTGTCCACCCCATTTTTATCAACATAGGCCTCTGCCATTATTGCTAACAACTGTTTTGACAAACCATCCCAATTTATACTATCTGTGTTCCATTCGAAGGTATTCCGCAGTACCGACCCATCCAGCGAAGGAGACACAGGTAGCTGAGCATTGGACACATTACCAATTTCAGCAGGTACATCATTATACCTCCCATTTTTGCTCATAGCAGGTTGGACTATCACCTTTTCCACACTGTGAGCCTGCGGCTCTGCAATTAACCCTTGCATCAGTACATTACTGTTACCTGTTTTACCAGCACCACAATTATCTTGGGAAACCTCTAGCTCCAACTTACTGGGCCCCCCTGAGGCTTCCGAAGATATTTATTTGGCACATATCTTAGTTGCTTCTGTAGGCAACACATTTTCACCATCATTGTTGTACAGCACATCAAAACAGGCATTGTTATCATTTTTTAACTCTGCATCAATAATGTTTGCATGAGCACCAAGCTTTAAGTCAATACTTGCATTAGGAGGAATCGCGTTGTCACATGCGTTTTCAACCCCTGCCTCCCCACTACACAACACATTATGTAGCGGCAAGTCTCTCTCCACATATCTGGTGGGTTGCCCAACTGGCAACACTCCCACTCCACACAAATTGTTACAGTCAGTCTCTCCAATGACTGTATTATCAGTCCCAGCACACAGCTAATTCAGGACAGTCTTACCCACCACCGCAGGCACTGTGGTTGACTTCAATTGAGAGCGCTGGATCTGGGCTGACACTGTCCACTTCTCTCTGGCACCCCCTGCCGGCTCCATGGAACTCTTCACGTTGCTAGGGGCAACTGCAGACACATTATCACCAGACCCTGGGCATGCAGGCTCCCTCTCATGCCCATCAGGATCTCCAGGGGTACCCCATAATACAGGGCATGTTGCAGACCTATGGTCCAGTTGACCACATCCAAAACACGTTGAAGGCTGAGGAGGACCCCACATCTCAGGGCATGACACCATGCTATGCCCCCACTGACTACACACTGTGCATTGTGCAGTGCGATTTTCACCCAAAAGATTCCTCTGCATTGCTTTCCAGGCACGCTGAAGCTTACGGTGATTCCGCTGGGCTTCGCTGTCGCTCAGGTTTTTCTCTCCCGACAACACTTTCTCTTTGGTTGCTATGGGAAATGGCACTTTTCCTCTGGGCACTGGCTGGCTGTGCTGGACTCTCTCCAGGCGACGCATGCTTCCCAGTTGCCATGAGAGATGACACCCTCCCCTTTGACACTGGCTGGCTCTCTTGGCTGCACTGGATCCTCTTTCCAGGCATCTTTTTTTGGCTCCACCCCTCTGCAGGCGACCTCCATGGCATGCAGTCAGCAACCCTGCGTTCACTGGCGTTGCTACTGACAACTGCATACCTGCGGGACCTCTGTTCAGCCCTCGCTCTCTCCAAGTAGTCAGAGCAGGATTTTTCACTGTAGTGGCTGGTGTTATCGCTGCCAGATGTCGCTTGCACCAGTCCACAGCAGACTCACAATCTGGCACCTGTGTATTTTCCACAGGCGTTGACCATCCCTCTAGCCACCAAACTCTTTCAACCATTTTTTCATAACAGTCTTTTCTCTTTGACCGCCCCATCCTGTCAGACAATCGATTTTGTGCAAAACACAGCAGCTTTGCACACTGTTTCACAGTCCACAGAAAAAGTTTTAGAGCATTGTCTCTTTAAGGACTTCTCCTTGTCCTGCAGGCCTTAGCTCACCTGCTTTACACATCATACAATCTCTACTTGTCTCACGAGAAACACCGTTCACAAACACATGAACTTACATTAGCTGGAACTCCACCGTTTTTCCAATGCTTTGAGAAACAGCTTCTGTGAGAGGTAGCGCTGGCTGCCCGCATTCTCCACCATATGTGAGATTTAGCTTCCAAAGGTAGCGCATTAAGGACGCATACACTCGCTTATTACTTCTTTTAAGGGCTTCCTTGCCCCCTTTTATTGAATCCAACTCAAAAGTCCACACAGGTTTACCCTCGCAAGGTTTTCAAACACAAAGTACAGTTTTTTCTTTCTTCAGCAAAATAGCACTTTCAAAGTCCCCCGACTTTAGGTTGCGTGTTTACCAAACACTCTTCACCACACAGGTGACACACTCCTCAGTCCGCCAGCCACAGACTGGTCCCAGGGTGGAGCCCTCCTGACTCCTGCAGAGACCTCTGTCACCCAGGTGGAGCCTTGAACCTGACCCAGCATCCTCCTCATAAGCGCTGTGCACAGGTGCACCATCATTTGGTGCTGGTCACCACTAAAGCCCGGTCCCAGGAATAGAGATTTCTTCCCTCCCAGTTCACTTAGAAATCTCCCGGCTCCAGGATACCAACTATAATCCAGAAAACCCGGAATGAGTTGTAAAACCAGCTCTTTCCTAGTAACAGTACTTTCCTGGAGCCGTTCAGCCCCTCTGGCTGAGAGTCCTGGGTGACCCTTTTCCCACTCTACACTGCCACAACACATAAAATGTATCCAGTAGAGGGAGGGCCACATTTTCACTGTATTGGTTAAAACACATAAAGCATCATAACAAATGATCTGGAACCTCCCATGAGGGGCTAGCACAAGTAGATGGTATACATCCTCTACAATAGCAAATACTTCAAGGGACATTTTCGGGACTTCCAGTGGGGGGGGAGATGCCATTCAGGCGGTGTATAACCTTACTCAGTGGCAAATTAAGCATGAGCCTAAAACATAAAAGAAGGGGAGGAAGGAGGGAAGAAGGAACTTCCAGGTGAGAGGAGGCAGGTGAGGATCGTGACTCAGACAGGAAAGGAGAGACCAGGAGAGGGCCAAGATACAGGAGAAAGACGGGTAGGGACAGTCAGAGAGAAAACAGCCCGGTGAAATTAGAGGTCTACACCCCAAGTATGCGTAGCTCCCACCTACCCCGAGGGGTCCACCGGGAGCATCGTAGTGCAATAGTCCTCAGACTCCTTGAGGAAGAGCCAGGGCCTCCAGACGTCAAGAAAAAGGTCCACCGTGTTGTGCAATGTAGAGGTCGGATCCTCCATACAGCAAACCTTGTTGACCTTGGAGTACCACAAACGAATGGTTGGAGCCTGCATTTGATGCCAGGGGAGGGGGATACAGGCCCGAGCGGCATTGAGAAGATATCGTGTAAGGGATCTTTTGTATTTAGTCCAAGGCATGGAGGTCAAGTGCAGGAGATAACTCGCAGGAGAAAAGTCCGGGCCATCCACCACCAACCTATACACTATGTCACAGACTGAGTCCCAGAAGGAGCATATCCCAGGGCAGGACCAAAAAACATGCAAGATGGTGCCCACTTTGGCTCCACATCTCCAGCACATGGAGGACAAAGTATGTAGCTTCATATTATTCTACATTGCTGTATAATGTATCACTGAGATTTGTAGTCCTCTATAGCCGGTTGCAATTCGGCATTGCTGTATAATGTGTCGTTGGGATTTGTAGTCCTCTAAAGCTGATGGTATTCTGCACTGCTGTACAGTGTAAGCCCCCCCTTCACATTAGAATCTCCTTTCACATCAGAGCCCCCTTTCATATTGGAATCCCTCATTTTACATCACAGTTCCCCCTTCACCTCAGAGTCCTACTATCAGAAAATGATGACGCACCCCAGAGGAAGCCAGAAGGCACCCTGGTTGAGAAAGGCTGACTTAGAAGATAGATATGCTTCTAAAGAAGCGCTAGCTATCCCTGGCCTCAATATGTTCATAGTCACCCTCAAGGAAATAGTATTTAGCCTGAAAAGTCATAGAAAGTTAGACTTCCCAATCTGGGAACTGCGAAGTGCTGAAGCCTTCAGACAAATAACATTTTCAAAATCTCAGTAATGGCAGTCTATGTACATGTTTCCTTTAAATATCCCACAGCAAAATAGCCAAACCAGAAAATTCTGCAATTTAGCTAATTTTTCGAAATCACCTATTAATCTAGATTTTGAAATTCCCCTGCAATTCATTTTTAATGAGTATACCTGCTATTGTGGGTGGGGCTTGTATATGGGCGGAGCACCAGGAGGCCCTATAATCTGGTATTGCCCGGGGGCCCCATGTGTAGTTCTGAAACCCATTCAGCTATTGAAATTCTTTTTTGCAGTTGCCAGTGGTGGGGGTTCACGTCTCGTACTGCAGATAAGTACTGAAGTTAAATGATGTAGGATTTTTTTTCATAGATTTGATTGGTCCAAGAATCATAGACAAAGGGTGAATTGAGGGGTGTTAGGGATGGATGCACCTGTTGCTGAGGTATATGGGGACAGAATTTTATCACAAAATTGTTTAAGGCAATTAGATTCAGACTGCACATTTGGCAATGACCTAAAGTCTATGGCTAGCTCTAGGATGACAGTGGTTAGAGGCATAATCTGACTGGCCTCAAACACCACAGTCTGCCAGTGATACTCTAAACCTAAATGGTTGCCTCAGTTGAGAGGGGCATGGGTGGCATGCTCCAGAACCTGCCATTGCCAGCTAATCAATATGCCAATGTGTATGATTTTCTAATTTGTTAAATCACTGCTTCCTTTGGTCAGTGAAGTTTGTGGGCTTCTCATAAACGTTGGGTCGTATCTTTTGTGGGTACCCTTAGATGTTATAAGTACAGGCCAACAAAATGTGTGTATACATCATAAAATTATGAAACGGAAGCAAGAATACATATAAAAAGAAATATATAATATTTTTTTCAGATAAATTTTACAATAACAACATAATTGAAATACACCACACTTAACACCCAAGAGAGTGTCATTGATGGCCTATTTCTGCAAATGCTTGCTGCCTTGCTGTTTCTGCCTTAAATACTTTTAGTCTCTGAACCAGCAACAATAATTCAGCAACAAGAGTCAGAGTCGAGTCAGAATTCCTAATATACCGACTTGTTCAGTATCTTAAAAAATATTGAAGGCAGAGGGTCAGAATGACAACCAAGCGAAGTCTATAGCCCTGCATTAGAAGCACAGACGCTGAGGGATATTCCACAGCCAAGTGCTGGGGGAGCAGGGATCAGGTAACACTGCTTTAAAGAAACCACATAGACAAAACCAAGCAGCTAACCCTTGCAGTGCACTGTAGCTCCACTGTAATGGAATAGGCTTTAAAGGAGAACTATGGTGTAAGTGCTTTTCCCCATAGTTCTCCTCAGGGTCACGGGAGGACATAAACTAGCGTCCTCCCGTGACCCAAAGCTCAGTATATCGCGAGCTACAGCTCGCGCTATACTGAGATCGCCGAAGCCGGGACGGATCCCGACATTACTGTCGAGACCCACCCAGTTGCGTGATTGACAGCTGGCTCTGCCTATCTAGAGGCAGAGCCAGCTGTACCCGCCCCCTCCCCCATTCGTTCCTCCAGTCAGCGCTGGAGGAGCGGGGAGGGGGGGAATCCCTGCAGGGAGCCGTGAGTGACAGTCACGGCTCTCTGCAGGGACAGGATCGGGAAGTGAGCGAGCGACGGTATGCGTTCGCTCACTTCCTGATCTATTGAGCCGACGTGTGACAGTTTCAATGTCATATGTCGGCTCGAACTATGAGGTTGAGTGAAAATCACTCACCTCACAGTTCTCCTTTAAGATTCAGTTTGAGGTACAGTAACCCAGGCTGTGCCACAGATTTAATTTCATATTCCACTTTATGCTCAGCGTGGCAGTCATTGTTATGTATGTTTTGGTATTCACCCCTCTGGAGAATAGAATAGTAAAGGCCTTGGCTGGGGTGATTACAGCAAAGTGATTCCAGTACTAGAGATAAGCAGTTATAAGCTTTATAATATGGTCTATGAGCCAACACTTTGAGAAGATTCTGCTTCAAAGTGGCTGCTTTCTTTGTGTTTACATGTGTGTATTGTAGCCCCATTACATGAATAAAAATGTAGTACTTAAGAAATCCCAGGGTAATTTACCATTAAAGGCAAAATATGATGTTAACTGAAAACTCAAGCAAAGTGCTTTTGGAACAGGGCTTAATTGTCTTGGCTTTCACACTGAAATGACTAAGTATCTTTTTACCATCACTTTGACAGAATGGCCTAGAGTTTAATGTCACAATTCCAGCTTTAAACTGTTTTTTTTTTTTTCTTGGGGGTGGGAAGAATACCAAATTACTGAAGAAATAGAGTATCCATGTAATGTACAGGGTCCAATAGCATTTGCCAAAATAACCTTATATATTCAAGTGGTGCACCTTTCTGATGATTAAGAAAATGTCATTAGAAGCTGTTCTAATGGAATAAACCTCATTTTTGCAGGCTAGCGCATCTAGCGACTCTGTGTTCTGGCTGGTGTCACTGACAGTCTGTAGAGAAGGCAGCAGGTGGACCCAATTCCAAGTATGGCTTTTTTTTAAGTCAAGCATATTACGGAGAGGACCAGGGACATATAAATAAATATCTACCTAAACCACGGCAAACACTGGGCTGCCTCGGTATAGGTATTTTCAAAACTGTAATGAGTTTATTTCAAGTGGACCTGTTATAGCAGACAGAATGCTACACAGTAAGCAGGAAGGTTATTTTTGTGTTTTTGTTGTTTTACTTGTTTACTGTATTAATGGAGTGTAAAGTTTAAAGGATAATTACAAATATTCAATTAGTTTAAATATATTTTATGTGAAACAGCTGCCTATAACACCCATAGCTACATGTATAAAACAAAATGTCATAGGTACCTATACATTGTCCTCTGTGCCACCAGTAGTAGGAATGAGCATTCTTGAGGAAAAAGTCTGAGGAGTGTCCTGTATTCACCAGAAAACCCATGTTTAAGTGTAGGTTTTGGTCTGAGTTTTGCAGCATAAACTTCTAGATCATATCCCTCATGTTTGCCTGACTCCTGATATCAGATGTGAAGACTGTCGAAGCAGTGTTGCTTCGGTGTTTAGGTGGAATTGTAAGAGACAGGGTTTAGGGCTGATGGCAAACAGGCAGGCAATGGTCACCTATGGAGACCAATGTTGTTCTTGGTGACCATTGTTGTCGCCTATGGTGACCATTCTAGTTTGCTGATCTATGGTTGCTAAACAGTAGAAATGGAATGCAAAGGACAGGCTGTGGTCAGAATTTAGTAGAAAGCAGGATTAATGATTCAAGGCACAGATATACTTAAAGGTTCAAGAGTAACTGACTCGAGCACCCTCCCATTACAGTAAATAAACATTTTATTTGGTCCTGATGATGCCAGAGGCATGCACATGTGTCTTCTACTATTCTTACACATTCACCTGGGTAAAAAAGAAGAACTCCAGCTCTTTGGGCGACCAAAGAATTAGGGAAATGCCGGCTGTTGAGTTTTGGTTATCCATTTATATTTACATTTGTACATTTGTATTAAAACTGAAATGTGTATTACCTTTGTACAGATTTTTTGGTAGTAATTTCTATGTTGGCTGCTTTGGTAGACAAAAGGAAGGTATTGTCAGTTGGTAGTTTTCTATATGGCTTCATATGTCTCCTGAAACTTTAATTTCCTAACAATGGATTTTGAGTAACTGCACAAATAATAGTTTTGATGCTTTGGGGAAAAAAAAATTTGTTTTTTTATTTAACACAATTGAATTTGATTTGAACATGAATTGTCTTTTTAAACCAGAGTAAATGGATCTGTTTTGTGTTTGTATCTTTCAGATAGATTCAGTGACAATGAAAAAAACTATGAACGCTTTCACTGAGATATTCTATGCTTCAATATTTGGATATGATGAGGTAAGTAATTATAAACTGCAGTAACATCAGCCAGTTATCAATAGCTTAGAAGGCTTAGAAGGCCTTTTTTCCCATATTCACAAAGGGATTTGAAAATCTCCTCTTAGCTGTTACAAGAACAGGGGTGACCATTGTTAAGAGCTCTCCTGTTCTTGTGACATTGGTCACTGAAACAGATAGGACACAGATGGCAAAATAAAAATGTTTTTAAAAAAATGACCAGTTGCTTTGTGATATAGTTCCAGGAATGCATAGTAAGTATACAGGGGCACTGTTAGAAACATAAAATTGAGTTATCTGGGTTTTTTTATACAACATTATTATTTTTGAAGGCATAACAAACAAAGGAGGAACTCCGAATGAACGGGCTACAGGTGGTCCAACCATAGTTCACTGCTCTTCATAGAATACAATGCTTTCTTGCAGTGGTCCCTGGTGATTGTGATAGAAAAATTGAGGACTCAAGTCCTGTGTGACGGCGCTCTCCTGAGGGATGGGTTTTTTTTGTTTCTGACTTTCTCAGAACTTTTGATTGGGTGGGGGCTTTGTGGAGGAGGATGGTGTTGAGATGGGGGTGGCGTGCGGCTTCAGTTCAAAATGGACCGGGGTGTCCACTTGGTAAGGGTGCAAAACAGAAAAAAACAAAGTCTGAGGCGCAACTGCCCTTGGAGTTGAATAGGTGAGGGTATGGCAGGGGTTAAATGGGCTAGGGCATGCAGGTTAAATGCTGCCCGAGAAGCAGTTTCGTAGATATTTTTCCCTCCGCAATGTAATCAATATCAGGGGTGGAGGGAGAAATAAAAACAAAAAACAAAAGAGGTGCACATGAAAATGGAGGCAAGTTGAACGGTGTGTGGTTCATATATCAACTCACTGCGAAGTTCTTGGGGAAGTATTGTCATCGACGACAGGGTTCCTGTTGGAGGCAGCGTCCGGCGGTCTCTTCTGGGACTGGGTGCAGGGATTCAGATGCCGGGTCGGGGTGCGATTCTATCGGATGCCTGTGTGTGGGACGTGCTGCTGGGCTGCTGGACTGCTGGGCTGGGTTGCGATGACTCGGGTCACGTTGTTTCGGCGGAGCTGGAGCGTCTGGTCTGGTGGCGGCTGGTGGACGTCAACCACGTCCTGTGTTTGAGGAAAATCTGGTACGCTGGCGGGTGGGGGACGCCGATCACGTCCTGTGTTGGATACGGAGCTTGCGGTGCGGGCAGTGGCTCTCTGTACGAGGTGGCTGAGTGCCGAGGTGCGCAGGCGCTGCCGAGCGACGGCGGTCGTGTTGGTCCAAAAATGGATAGGACGCTTGTGGTAGTCGCAGTAGGTTGCAGGTGGGTTGCAGGGGCATCTTAGGCCATACACCACGAAGTCATGGTCACAGGTGACAAATTGGTGTATGGGGAATTTGTTACCGCAACTGTCTTGAAAGGAGTTCTGACCGTGTGTTATGAACTGGCAGGTTAAACAGAGGAGTTTTTTGCATTTGTGGACGCCTGTCCTGTTGTCACATAGGAAGGTTTTGGTTTTCTTGATTGATAGTTTACTTGGTGCCACTATGTTTTTGATGCTTTTGGCTCTTTTGAATACTACTGTGGGTTTCTTAGGGAGTATAGAGCCTAGTTTGGGGTCACAAAGGAGCAAATGCCAGTTCTTTCTTAGTATGGACTCGATGGCCTTGAATTTGCTGTTGAAGGGTGTGATGAATCTCGCCGTATCTTTTTGTGTGTGGTGTTTAGTTTCCTTGTTCAGTACTGTATTTTGTGTCAGAAAACTTTCTTGGGCCTTGGTTATAAGATCCTTAGGGTAACCTTTCTCGATGAATTTCTTCTTGAGGTGGAGGCTTTGTTTCAGGTAGTCATCTTTTCTCGTGCAGTTTTTGTTTAGTCTCCAGAACTGACCCTTGGGGACATTCCGTTTCCATAAGGGGTGGTGGCAACTATCGTAGTGTAGATATGAATTGCCGGCAGTGGGTTTGAAGTGAGTGGTGGTGACTATGGTCTTGTCACTATGGGTGAGTTCCAGGTCCAGAAAGGTTAATTTGAGATTATCCAGGACATGTGTGAATTTGAGGCCGAGTGGGTTGCTGTTGCAGTGTGACACAAAGGCACTGATGGTATCGGGGGGTCCGTCCCAAATGATGATGATATCATCTATGTACCGGCCGTAATACGTCAGGTGTTGTGAAAAGGGGTTGTTACGCCAAATGTGGAAGTGCTCCCAGTAGCCCATCGTTAGATTTGCGTAACTGGGGGCATAATTCGCTCCCATGGCTGTGCCCTGGGTTTGGAGATAGAATTTGTCGAGGAACGAAAAATAGTTATGTTCGAGTGTGAATCTTGTTGAGTTCAGAATGAATTGGGCTTGTTTGTGATGTAATGCCGGTTGTTGTGAAAGGTAATATTGTAAGGCTTGTAGGCCTATATTGTGTGGGATGGATGTGTAGAGGGAACACACATCCAGGGATACCCAGTGGTAGGTGGGCTCCCAGGTGTAGTGGCTTAATGTGTCTATTAGGTGACTGGAGTCTCTGAGGTAGGATGGTAATGTGATGACAATGGGTTGTAGAAATTGATCTACGTATTTTGACAGGCCGCTGGTAAGACTGTCAATACTTGATATAATCGGACGGCCTGGGGGTGTGGTTTCGTTTTTATGAATTTTGGGTAAATGGTAGAAAAAAGGTGTTTTTGGTTGTGAGGGGCAGAGGACAGCTTTTTCTTTCTTCGTGATCACCTTCTCCTTGAATGCCGTGTCAGTTAGCGTTTTTAGTTCCTGGAGGAATTCGGGTAGTGGGTCCGTGGGGAGGGAGCAATAAGTGGAGTTGTCTGACAGGAGGCGGTTAGCTTCGTTGATGTAGTCTGCTCGGTTTTGTATAACTATGCCGCCGCCCTTGTCCGCCTGTCTTATGGAGATGTTGGCATTGTTCGTCAGGGTTTTGAGAGCTATTTGTTCTTTGCGGGAGAGGTTAGACTTTTTGTGTTTGTTTTCCGTCCTATTGTGTGATGTGTTGGTGTCACATAATTTTTTGAAATCCGAGTATGTGACCTGGTAAAAGGTATCTATGAAGTTACCTTTTGATTTGTGTGGGTAGAAGGTGGACAGGGGGCGTAACGAGCTGTGTATGATGTTGGGGAACGACCATTCTCCTGGCTCGAGGTCAGAGGGGTAATTGGGATCATACAGTTCCTCAAGAATGTTCAAGATATCTTCATCTGTGTTGCTGTCTATTTGATCTGTTGGTATGGCGGTAGTACAGTTTGCTTCAACTAATCCATCGGCGAGTGTTGTGTTATTATAGTGTCTTTTTAGGGTTAAATGTCGGATGAACTTGTTGAGGTCTTTAAATAGTGTGAACGAGTTGGGTTTGATGTCTGGTGCAAAGCTTAATCCTTTGTTAAGTATGGAGGTTTCTTGGGGGGTCAGGATGTGGTCTGAGAGGTTGAATATTTTTACTGTGGACTCGGTGGGTGCTGTCTTTCTCTTTTTGTGCTGGTTGGTACGATGTGCTCCTCCTCTGGTACCTCTTCTGGTTTTTTTCTTTTTTGTGGGCGGGCTTGGCCCGATCCTAAAAAATGCTCTGGTTGTGGTTTAGGGGAGGGGGTCTGCTCCGATGTGGAGGCTGTGGGGTGGGGGAGTGGTGGATTTGGACCCTTTTTTGGACCAACAGGACCCCCGTCACTCGGCGGCGCCTGCGCACCTTGTCACTCAGCCACCTCGTACAGAGAGCCACTGCCCGCACCGCAAGCTCCATATCCAACACAGGACGTGATCGGCGTCCCCCACCCGCCAGCGTACCAGATTTTCCTCAAACACAGGACGTGGTTGACGTCCACCAGCTGCCACCAGACCAGACGCTCCAGCTCCGCCAAAACAACGTGACCTGAGTCATCGCAACCCAGCCCAGCAGCACGTCCCACACACAGGTTGCCACCAGACCAGACGCTCCAGCTCCGCCAAAACAACGTGACCTGAGTCATCGCAACCCAGCCCAGCAGCACGTCCCACACACAGGCATCCGATAGAATCGCACCCCGACCCGGCATCTGAATCCCTGCACCCAGTCCCAGAAGAGACCGCCGGACGCTGCCTCCAACAGGAACCCCGTCGTCGATGACAACACTTCCCCAAGAACCTCGCGGTGAGTTGATATATGCACCACACACCGTTCAACTTGCCTCCATTTTCATGTGCACCTCTTTTGTTTTTTGTTTTTATTTCTCCCTCCACCCCTGATATTGATTACATTGCGGAGGGAAAAATATCTACGAAACTGCTTCTCGGGCAGCATTTAACCTGCATGCCCTAGCCCATTTAACCCCTGCCATACCCTCACCTATTCAACTCCAAGGGCAGTTGCGCCTCAGACTTTGTTTTTTTCTGTTTTGCACCTGGTGATTGTGATACTATGCATCATAATTGGAGGCAAGGCTAATGGGAAATTACCTTCGTGGTTGACAGGTGTAGATATCTACATCACATGCATCATTGCTTTAATTGGCAGACTCACAATAATATTCTTGCTACAAATCTCTTTTAAAAGCCTCCTTGGTGATTTCAAGCCATGTAATATAACTCATCAAGAACGGTCTATCTGTCAATTAATTTATCTGTTATAATTATCACAGTTGGTATTAATTTTACAATGCTTTGTCAAAATATTAGGTCTATGTTTAATACCAAGTTTTAAAGAACAACTAATTAAAAATAAATTTTGATATGGCTGATTTTAATGAACCTGGTGACAAGTTAATTTGTGATTGCTGCAGCGATTGATCTTGGCATCATACCATTAGATAAAGCTATGGATCTTATATACTGGCAAGGCATCAAGTCTTTTCATTTTCTTTTGTAGGGAATTATATCCGATGATCGAGTGTTGGCTGCTGCTCTTTGGCGAAATCTTTTCAATATACGCTGTGACGATCCTCGTCAGTTAGAGCTGATGGTGGAATATGTGCGCAAACAGGTAATATCTCTGTCCCAACCTAATATTAAGTGTAGTTATTTTGACCTTCAGTATAACTTGGCCATTTTTGTTCACTTTAAGTGTACAGAACAGGGACAGTGTGATAAATGAATTACACGCAAGTGTGGATTTCCCATGTTTTAATGTTAACCGCTTGCTGACCGAAGTATTAAACCCCCTTCCTGTCCAGGCCATTTTTCAGTATTCAGCGCTGCAGTACTTTGACTGACATTTATTCCGTCATGCAACGCTGTACTGAAATTAATTTTATACCGTTTTTGGGGACAGATAGAGCTTTCTTTTGGTGCTATTTAATCACCACTGGAGTTTTTATTTTTTACTCTATGATGAAAAAAGAACCGAAAGTTTAGAAGAAAAAAAAATGTTTTCCCTACTTTGTTATAAAACATTTATCAGCACCCAAATTTTTGTTAAAATATAAAATACAGGGTCATGTTGGGTAAATATAAGTAAAGGATGGACACCAGCACTCCAAAGCAAGTTCAGTACATGTTTATTAACGTACTAGTTGCAAGTAGAACACGCTAAACAACGTTTCGGGGTCTCACAGGATCCCCTTCATCACACAAACAAGTGATAAATGCAAGCGTAACACAGGAATCTATATACACACCAACAGTGATTGTGAACTAATCCAAAAGTCTCACTGACATTATCATGACATCACATTCCCACCAAAAACATTCAAAATACAGTAATCATGTAGCATGATAATGGCAACAAGAATGCAGGTAAATACCCTGTTTCCCCGAAAATAAGACCTACCCCGAAAATAAGACCTATTACTATTTTTGGGAATTGCTCAAATATAAGACCTACCCCGAAAATAAGACCTATTACTATTTTTGGGAATTGCTCAAATATAAGACCTACCCCGAAAATAAGACCTATTACTATTTTTGGGAATTGCTCAAATATAAGACCTACCCCGAAAATAAGACCTATTACTATTTTTGGGAATTGCTCAAATATAAGACCTACCCCGAAAATAAGACCTATTACTATTTTTGGGAATTGCTCAAATATAAGACCTACCCCGAAAATAAGACCTATTACTATTTTTGGGAATTGCTCAAATATAAGACCTACCCCGAAAATAAGACCTATTACTATTTTTGGGAATTGCTCAAATATAAGACCTACCCCGAAAATAAGACCTATTACTATTTTTGGGAATTGCTCAAATATAAGACCTACCCCGAAAATAAGACCTAGTGCGTTTTTTTGAGCCCAAAAAAATATAAGACAGTATCTTATTTTCGGGGAAACACGGTAGATAAACTGTGCATATATAGGGAAAGTTCTATTATCACCAGCCATGTGTGCAGCAATCATCAAGATGCATGGATCTAGAGTTACAAAAACCACTGACAGTAAGTGTAACAGCCATTAAGCAAGCAACGGAGGAGTGGCCAGCCACTGTCAAAGGTACCAGACCTGCCCCCAGCCAAGGACCAATCAGAGAACGCCATCTGGTGGAAGCCGTGTCGTCAGAGATGGGGGAAGCCACACATGTCACAAGACTTGACAAGCAACTAGAATTGTAAATGTATATAGGACATAAAATTGGTATGCGACAGGCGCATGATGAATAGGGTAACAGATGTCAGCCAAAAGGTACTGGTCATCCATGCTGACATCCCAGACGCATGTGGATCAAATATGAGCACCACTGTTGCAGGAGTATGGGCTGTTATGGCCCATACATCTAGAGAAATGTATTAAGGTGATATTCTGGAAGCATGATTGTAAATGCATGATGTCAAAACCTGACCAAGTCAAGGGGGATAACCAATGTCAGTTGGGTATCACTGGGTCTAACCTAAAGAAGTGGTTAAAGAGACAATCTGGGGAAAGCAGTCATGGGACATGACATGTGAGAAAAGAACAATTAAAAAAATGTAAAAATCCCCGGCTGGGGCAAAACCACCTCTGGGGAAACATCAGTCAAAGAACCATGGAGAAAAGCATACGGTCTGGGTCAAATGATCAGTTGGGGAGAAAGCATGTAAGAATGAGGTTCGTGTTGAGCATCCTGGGTATCATAGTATCCAATGTATGGATCCAAAAAGCTTGTGAGAGGTGGAAGGTGGAGGTGAGATTTGTCATGGTTCCCACCACGATGGGATAATGCGACATGTTCGATCACCATCCCCCGTAATTCATGGGTCTGGTGTCGTAGATCAGCAAAGTGAACCGCTACTGGTTTATTAAGATCCAGGGCGTCACCTTTGGCGGAGGCATTAATGGCACACCTGATATCGCTACAATGTTTTTGAAAGCGTCTTTTGAATGGTCCCAAGGTCTTACCCACATATGCGAGTCCACATGGGCACTTCAAAAGATAAACACGCGCCTCTGTAATGCAGTTAAGATAGCCTTTTATCTGAAATCTCTTCCCATTGTGTGGATGTGAGAATGTCTTGCCTGTGATGAGTGCACTGCAGACATTGCAGTTAAAACATTTATAGCACCCTGTGCGTCGTGAAATTTGAAATGGTTGTTTGCAGTAATTAGGCCAGGGATCTGCCTAGACTAGATGGTCCTTCAAGGTTTTGCTTATACACCTGCAATGGTGCTGTCTTAATATGTGCGGTCAATTGTTTGTCTGCTTTGAGGATGTTCAGGTTCTTAATTGTGGATCTACGGATGAGATGTGACGCCCCAGTAAACCTCTGAATAAAGGGCAGTCTATTACCAGAGGGTTTGTCTGTCCCTGTGGTTGAGGAGAATTTGTCTATTGCCCTCTCAAGTGCGTGGTCCAGAACAGAGGTAGAGGGTACCCTCTTTGTTGAAACTTGGAGTACATCACCTTGACATGTATATCACATGCGTCTGGATCTGAGCAAATGCTGAAAACATGCATAAACTGTGATATGGGTAAATTAGCAAGTAGGTGTTTAAGGTGAGAACTGTGGTAATGCAGTATAGTATTGCGATCTGTAGGTTTACTGAACAACGTGGTTTGAAGGTGATCGTTAGCAATATTAACTTGGACATCTAGGAATGTGATACTGGTGTCATGAAATTCAGGGTTAAAAACAATTCCGGGGAAGATGGAGTTGAGGAACCCCACAAACATCCCAAAAGACAGATTAAGCGATATAAATTTTGCCAAGTCAACCAAGACTACCAGGAGGAAAGTGTATACCCCTGGCTGACCGGCAGCAATCACAGACGAAACAGAACCATTTTCCAGAGAACAAGTGGCCACCCAAGACAACAAGGGATTGCTATTGTATCCTCCACAGACAGTGAACGGATAGATTCTACACGCCAGAGTGACGCCCCTCATTCTTTTCGTCTTACCGACGCCGACCCAGGCGGGGCCATAAGACCACGAGGGGTGAGTACAAGAATACACCGTGGAAGACAGAACAAGAGAGCCCAGTGATCAACCTCTCCGCTAGGACATTATCGAGTGGTGAGTGCAGCCTTCTAGCCAAAGCCCTTTCCTTTTCTCCTAGCAAATTTGACCCATTTGGGTTTGAGGTTGAGGTTTTCAAAAACGAAAGAATGCTTAAACTCAAGCAGTATTTCTTCAAACAACCATCTGACCCTACATGCACCACAACACCTTCATTCGATGTAAAGAGCAAGTTAATTCCTCCTGGGAATTTTAACTCCATTGATAGCTATACCAGGACTAGGAAACATGAGTTTCTCACCATGGTCCCAATGTGTAGCACTCATTCCAATCCAAATAGAGAGGAATTCAGTGCTTCCAATGATTTGAAAGAGAACTTCTCTATCATTATTAAACTAGCTGATAAAGGGGGTGCAATTGTGGTCATGGACTATGCCAACTGTAGACAGGGCATGTTAGCGTAGCATTTTGGATCCATACATTGGATACTGTGATACCCAGGGGGCTGAACACAAGCCTCACCCTTACATGCTTTCTCCCCGACTGATAATTCGACCCAGACTGTATGCTTTTCTCCATGGTTCTTTGACTGATGTTTCCCCAGGGGTGGTTTTGCCACAGCCAGGGATTTTTAAATTTTTTTAATAGTTTTTTCTCACATATCATGTCCCATGACTGCTTTCCCCAGATTGTCTCTTTAACCACTTCTTTAGGTTAGACCCAGTGATAACCAGCTGACATTGGTTATCCCCTTGACTTAGTCAGGTTTTGACATCATGCGTTTACAATCATGTTTCCAGAATATCACCTTACTACATTTCTCTAGATGTATGGCCCAAAGCTGCCCATACTCCTGCAACAGTGGTGCTCATATTTGATCCACATGCGTCTGGGATCTCAGCATGAATGACCAGTACCTTTTGGCTTACATCTGTTACCCTATTCATCATGCGCCTGACGCATGGCAATTTTATGTCCTATATACATTTACAATTCTAGTTACACCTACGTTTTTTATTTGCACAACAACATGCTGCTTTAGCCCTCATGCGTCTTCAGAACAACGCCTCTAGCTTTTTTTTTGTCATTCTCATTTATTATGAGTGGCACACACCCATTTTATGTTCCATATACACCTATGAATAGAGTTGTGCTTATGTTCCTTATTTTCTATGGCTCTCATGCGTTTAAACCATGTAATGCACTACATTTCCATGACCCCGTAATAAGGCTCGTTTGATAAGCATCAGCTGTCTCTGTGCCAATGCAGCTACATATATAGTAACATACCAGACAATTATGTTTGGATTTGGGTTCTAATACTTTTATTTCTTATTTTGCCTTAATTCTAACAGTAATTCGTGAATTTTTCAGGTATTTCATGATGCAACTTATTTTTTGCCAGCATTTTGTTCATATGTCACTTTAAGTGTTGGAGTTCTCTCACGGCATATTACGCCGCCTGACTGTCGTTGTTTGTTGTACTATTGTGCTTTAGCCACTTGTCTTACTGCCATCCTCCACCAGGCAGCGTCCTGCCGTTGCCATGACATCCATTGATATGGCAGATACCACGCCTGACACTGGCAGGTACGGCCTATCTAGCTGCTTG